AGAGTGAATAGAGAATAATTTTGTTTCAAGAAGACTGAAAACTTTCAAATTGTTCCCAGGGAATATGGAAAATTATGTAGTTCTGTGATATGTAACGGCACATACTTTTCAAATCCTACTCAGAAGACTTTAACAGGATTACTCAGAAGAGCACTTGCTAACCCTTTCTTTTTTCATTTACATTCACAGGATTTCTGAGCACTGGGGATCAAGCAGCAAAAGGAAACTATGGCCTCCTTGATCTAATTCAAGCTTTGCGATGGACTAGTGAAAATATTGGGTTCTTTGGTGGTGACCCATTAAGAATAACTGTTTTTGGATCTGGTGCAGGCGGTTCATGCGTCAATCTGTTGACTTTATCCCATTATTCTGAAGGTAACCGTTGGAGCAATTCAACCAAAGGTATTATGCAGGTTGCAAATTTTGACAATTTTGGTGTCTGCATGCCACCACCATTAGTACTATGTGATGTTCTGTATATTCTCTTTGTTCCTATGAACTGTTGAGTTCAGCTCAATATTAAGAAACTTTTTAAAGGCTGTACAAGCCTCCTTCTCCCTCAGCTCTTCTGTGCATGTTTAAATTTTGGGTCACTTTCTTCTTTTTCCTATGGAGCTTTGTAGAAACACTTTATAGCAGACTTCTGAACAGCATTTTCTTGGTGCATCATTTTTGTCTCTTTTCTTTCCTACCTAAGGGTGTCCTTTTTTGGAAAACCAGTCAGTCATACTTACAGTAGATGAGGTCATCTATATTCAGACAGTCATGAAAGGCATGTTTAGTTTCTCCTGAGGAGCAGAATTTAAAGAAAACTAAAATGACACAGTTTCTCTCTTTTCAGGCTAACAGCTGAAATGCTTAAAACTATTATTTTGTGTGAAGGAAACAAGTACCTAGTTCAGAAATCTTTTGTCTGAGACTGCATGGACTTCACTTGCTGTCATCTAATAAAAGAATGGTTGAATGTTTTGCATGCATGATCCAAAATTGTCAAAGCATCCAAGTTGCAAATGGATTTTCTTCTCTATGTTTTTTTCTATCCCATAACTAACACCTCTTCTCTCTAGTTGAGGCAGACAGCAGGAAATTGAAAACATGTTGTTTGAGGCACACAGTTTTTTCCTCTGATTTTTGTACCACAGTTTCACACAGTTTCTCTCATTTGCATGGCTATTGCTTATTGATCACATTACTTTTGTCTCACTGTTTTCACATATTTTTATCTGTATTGTTTAGTTTTACCAGGGACTTCACACTGTGCCCCGTGCATATAGTTCTCCACTAATTTATATTGCTGTAGCTCCATGGGGGACTAATTGGTCAGTTATAAAAACAGAATTCTGCTGACATTAAAAGAGCTGCATTTACCCAGTCATAGTGCAGAGCCCACCGAGGTCAATCCAAGTGACAGATCACTCCATTACATGCTCTTAAATGAAAGAAAAATATAACTTTTACAAGAGAAGTGGAAAACAAGACTGTAGTCTAAATTCTTGTCTATTTCCACAATTTTATTTTTTAATGTAATTCCCACCCTGCTATCCCCTACCCCCAACATAACTACCTGCACTTAAAATGGTCTGTAAGAACAAGATGTAAGCATTACCTCATTGCAGCTGAGGGTCACACTGCACCGTCTTCTTTCATCAGAACTCTCAAAACCAACTTTGTCAGAGAGGATTTAGCTTCAGGTTGAATGAGGAGACCTGGTTTATCCTCCCCTAACTCTTACTTCTTGTTAATCTCGATCTTCTCGACGTAACATGACATTAATGCGAAATGCCACACTCACAATATCTGGATAGTCATGTGTTGCCTCTTATTAGCAAATGTAATCCTGTCATATTCCAACACATGGCCAGAATTCTGCCAGGAGCAGAATTTGTTTGGGGAAACTGATGCAGTATGTTTCCAACATGGCAGATCAAAGCATTTGGGAGGGGACTAAAGAAGACTCAGTAAAAGAAAATTTTTGAGGATTTCTTTTGTAAGAAAGAAAACCCATGCTTTATTGAAATTTGAATTAAACAGAACAATGTGCCACACTCCCATGTATGTTATGTTTCATGTGGGGGTGGTTAGACCTGCCATTTTAAAAAATATTTGTAATAAAAATTTGTCAGTTTCAAATAAGAAAAGTTATTTCAAGTATTCAAACATTTTCAAATATCCTAACATTTCCAAACCCCCTTTTGTTTCATGTTATTTTGTTTCACATTCACATCTGAAATCTGGAGAAGAGCTTTTTTTTCAAGGGCATGTAGTGATAGGAAAAAGGGCAATGGGTTCAGACTGAAAGAGGGCAGGTTTAGATTAGTTAATAGGAAGAAATTCTTTACAGTGAAGGTGGTGAGGCACTGGCACAGGTTTCCCAGGAAAGCTGTGGCTGCCCCTTCCCTGGAAGTGTTCAAGACCAGGTTGGACAGGGCTCAGAGCAAGTTGGTTTAGTGGAAGGTGTTCCTGCCCATGGCAGGTGGGTTTAAAGTAGGTGCTGTTTAAGGTCCCTTCCAACCCAAACCATGCCATGATTCTGTGATTCTATGACTATAAACCAGACTTTTTCATGAGCTCTGAATTTGGATGCTCTCTCTCCTTCCATCATTTTCCTTTGAAAGATTCCCTTGGTAGTTGAGAAGAGGAATTAAGCCTATTTCAGGATGGTGCTGTTCATAGTCTCACACCTGCAAGTGGGTAGAGCAGCACCCAACTTCAGAAAGTGCTCTGAAAATGTAGATTAATATATGCAACTTATTATTATTTACTTTGGTGAGACTTTGAGTAGGAGTCACAAAGCGCTACGGTCCATTGAACATTTAAATCTTCTTTCCATCGGTCTGAAGACCATAAATGATAACAATTATACCCATTATCAGATAAAAATGTAGTTCTCCGTCCTGTGTGCTACCAATTTCTTCCAGGAATTATGTGATAGAATGAAAATAATTTTTCATACTGTTGTTCATTTTTCATCAAATGGTATGAGTGAAGGAATATTTCCCTAAATATTCTTCAGCAGAAGGAGAGATGTTTAGTTTCATTTCCTCACATATCTTTATGGCCAGAGGACTTGACCACTTTTACTTAATCCAGCATTTGAGTTTATGTAGCACTTAGCAAGCCATAGTGTTTACATCAGCATTTTCTTCTACGTAGCTTACACTTTCTGTCCTTGTTCAGAGATATTTAATAAAGCAATAAAACCAGATTTACACAATATGCAAAAATCCACACATTATGAAGTATCATGAAATACATCTTTATGAAAATTCAGCTTTGTCATTTAGTTACATTTATTACAATGCCTGGATCCTCTGTGGTAATTCCACTGACTTTGAGCTGATTTATACTAGCTCAATATCTGACCTTATAAACATGCAAATATATTTTTTTAGCTGTTTTATAGCTCAAGTTCGTTCTTATTTTTACTCATATCTTGCAAGGAAATAATATCTTGGATATGACTTCTCATAAATTTAAGGAGATGCTTGAGTTTACATATTTCAGTCTCTAAACCTATCTTATTTTAAGACTTTTGGATTTGGACCTAATACAATCTAGAATGATTTTAAAATTCCTCAGAAGCTTGTAAAATGCTTCCTGCCTGCAACAGATTCCAACTAACTTGTGAATGTACAGGGTCTGGTGCTGCAATAGAGGCTGTAAAAGCATGTCTGATTTGATTTAGAGACTCTGGATTTTTTTTATCAATAGAAATATGTTACTTATCAAAGTAAAAGCCATCTTGTGCATTATTGGAATAAATTTCTGAAGTAAGCTGAGCACCTTGACTCCAGTTCCTTTAGTGGCAGTATCCAGCTATTTGCCAAGCATTGCACCAAAGATATATTCTTAGCAGAATTAAGTGAGTGAGACCAGTTCTCACTTCCAGTCCCTAAGGATCTCTACGAGAGTCAGTGGAGTGACTCAAGGTGCCTATCAGCATGAGTAAAACAAAATTTTAACCCGTGTTTCTTAAATCAGCCTAAATTTCAAAGGCTATAGACCATTTTGGATTACCCACAGTTAACTATAGGAAGTAAGGTCCAGTATAAAATATTTTCCAGTAATTTGTGCAAAAGATGTGCCTCTGAAATGAACTTCCATGAAAATGCAAAAAACCTCCAACAGAACCAGAACGGTCAGAGTTACCTAACTATAGTCTAAGTTTGTGCATTATTTTGCACAAGGTCCAGACTCATAATCTCTCTCAGAACCCAAATTACCCTTCCTGAATGGAGTGTGAAAAGGTAAAGGCCCAACACAAAGGGAGCTCAAGAAGTATCAGAACAGGGATGAAGTTTTGATTGCATTAAAGCCAATAGCAAAAAAATCAGATTGATTCATTGACTAGAAGGGAGTGAGGCTTTCAGCCACGATGTTTTAAAAATGCTTACAGAAGGGAGAGGAAAACGTCAATTTGAACATATTTTGTTATTTCTGTGGCTAGAATTCCTGGTCCAGAGTGCTAGTTAAATCAGCATAAATTCAAATTAATTGCACTGAAGTCTTTGGGATTTACTACAAGTTTATATGTAGTGCCAAATCATTCTCTCTCCCCTAAATGAGTACCTGAACATATGTTTAAATCTCTGAATTACAAAGCTTAATTGCATAAAATATATCATTTCCCTTTTTATGTAAGTGTGATCAATATAAACCTGCATTAAAAAAAGCTCCTTACAAGAAAGGATTTTTTTCTGACACTTATAAATTTAATATCTGCCTAGTACCTTCTCATCTGTTACTCCAGAATATAAACTTTTGCAGTGATACACAATTCAACAGCACTGCACCTCTCAAACCAAGTTTAATTCCAACCAGAGCATTAAAAAGTGTGTTAGGTTTGTTTTACACATAGTTGTATGCATGCATGCTGATGGCTTGAACAGTACCCAAAACTTCAATCCATTTCAGAGACTTGTTGGTTTTTCCTCTGACCTATAAATTGCTTTAATTTGAGCAAATTCTTTCAAGCTGATTGTGTTATCCTACATAAGGTAACGCTGCTTCTTTTTCTTCCTGAATTTCTTTTGAAAATCTGTTCCTCAGCTGGACTATATTGAGGTAGAATCATTTGCTTCAGCACATATTGCATTTATTTTGTGCACATTACCTGTAGGTACAATGGCAGTCAGATCTCACCATCCTGTGTATTTAAGTACTATTAAGATTCAGGTATATCTTCTGTTAAAGTTTTTGATTGTTTCAAAGAACTCCTTTGAATCTTTCAAGTCTGTGGCTGTTTCAAGGTCACTTCAGTAGTTTTCAAATATTTCTCCCCACAGGACTTTTTCAAAGAGCAATAGCTCAAAGTGGAACAGCTCTCTCCAGCTGGGCAGTTAGTTTTCAGCCTGCAAAATATGCCAGGATGTTGGCTACAAAAGTTGGTTGCAACATGTCAGACACTGTAGAACTGGTAGAATGTCTACAGAAGAAGCCTTATAGAGAACTTGTCGACCAGGACATTCAACCAGCAAGATACCATATAGCCTTTGGACCAGTAATTGATGGTGATGTGATACCAGATGATCCTCAGATACTGATGGAACAAGGAGAATTCCTCAACTATGACATCATGTTGGGAGTTAACCAAGGGGAAGGGTTAAAATTTGTTGAAAATATTGTGGATAGCGAAGATGGCATATCAGCTAGTGATTTTGACTTTGCAGTTTCCAATTTTGTCGATAACTTATACGGATACCCTGAAGGCAAAGATATATTGAGGGAAACTATTAAATTTATGTACACGGACTGGGCAGATCGACACAATCCTGAGACCAGAAGGAAAACACTGCTGGCTTTGTTTACTGATCATCAGTGGGTTGCACCAGCAGTGGCTACAGCAGATCTTCACTCGAATTTTGGATCGCCTACATATTTCTATGCCTTCTACCATCATTGCCAGACAGATCAGGTACCTGCATGGGCAGATGCAGCCCATGGAGATGAGGTTCCTTACGTACTAGGAATCCCCATGATTGGTCCTACTGAATTATTTCCTTGTAATTTCTCCAAAAATGATGTCATGCTAAGTGCAGTGGTGATGACATACTGGACAAACTTTGCAAAAACTGGGTGAGTACCAGATAATGAATGGTCTTGTATGCAGACTCAGGATGGAGTGGTTCAGTGCTTTCCATTGGTTATGTCCCTTGGGAATGCCTTGGTACTTATACGATAAATAAAAGATTAAGAATTGGATTTGATATTTATGTCTATTATAATGTCCCTCAGCTCACTCACAGATGCTAGCAAAAAGAAGGAAAAATATTTTTTGCACACTCTGCATGAAGAAATTTTTAAAAATACACAAAATAAATAAGAAAACCCCTGAAAAGTGTAAAACTAAGCATTTAACATATGTGTATAGTTAAAAATAGTTATGCTAGTAACTGACTTTATCCCAGCACTGATATTTTCATCCCATGAGACAGAAAATTACATAAATTTTGCATCAAATATAATGCAACTTGTTTTAGTAGCGTATTTTGTCTTAAATTGACTCTTCTGACCATAAATTATGTGACTTTAAACTTGGAAAGTTTAGTCATTTTCATTAATTCTTCTTTCACTGGAAGTTCAAAACACTTTGTTACCTTTGCCCATTGTTATTTTTGACTATGTGTTTCACTGAGTTGTGTTCTGCCATGATCTTTCCCCTCTGGAAGGCCACGGATGCTGCTGATGAACAGAAATGCTGAGCTATAGGAGATTTATGCTGCTAAAAAAGAAAAGCTACAGTTAATGCCCTCTCACACTGGTCTCATAGGCATTTGTCTGCATCACCACAGTGCTGGCAATCTGTCTTCAGCAGCACAAGATTTCAGAGTGAGAGACACTAACATTTTGGGGAACTAGGGAAGTTGCTGAAGTCTGTGTGAAAAGGTTCGTTTGCATAATGTTGTTTCTAATCAAGATTATTAAGACCCCTAATTTTAGGGAATAGCACTCTGCTCTGTCCAAAGGCAGACTTAAACATTTAGTATAAAATCTTAATTATGTTAATTTTATAATTCCATTCGAAATGCTTTGTAACATTGGAGATATTTCTTTTTTTAGTGACCCAAATCAACCAGTGCCGCAAGATACAAAATTCATCCATACGAAACCGAATCGTTTTGAAGAAGTAGCATGGACCAGATATTCTCAGAAAGACCAACTGTATCTTCACATTGGATTAAAACCACGAGTTAAAGAACACTATAGGGCCAATAAAGTGAACCTTTGGTTGGAACTGGTACCTCATCTGCACAATCTTAACGACATTTCACAGTATACCTCTACCACAACTAAAGTGCCATCGACTGATAATACATTCAGACCAACAAGGAAAAATTCTGTTTCAGTTACTTCAGCCTTTCCTACAGCCAAACAAGATGATCCCAAACAACAACCAAGCCCATTTTCAGTGGATCAAAGGGACTATTCAACAGAATTGAGTGTTACTATTGCGGTTGGTGCATCTTTGCTGTTCCTGAACATTTTGGCCTTTGCAGCACTGTACTACAAAAAAGACAAGCGGAGACATGATGTACATAGGAGATGTAGCCCACAACGTACTACTACCAATGATCTTACCCATGCACAAGAAGAGGAGATAATGTCCCTCCAAATGAAGCACACTGACTTGGATCATGAATGTGAGTCCATCCATCCACATGAGGTGGTTCTTAGGACCGCCTGTCCCCCAGACTACACGCTAGCTATGAGAAGGTCTCCTGATGATATTCCCTTAATGACACCCAACACCATCACAATGATCCCCAACACTATACCAGGGATTCAACCCCTACACACATTCAACACATTTACTGGAGGACAGAACAATACTCTGCCCCATCCTCATCCCCACCCCCATTCACACTCAACAACCAGGGTATAGCCAGACAAGACGAAACAAACTTTATTTTTTGATGGATTACAGTAGGTGATATTACTGAAGATTACTTGGCTTTCAACCTACAAGACTCTTACTATTTAAATATGGAGGAATATTATGTGAATATACATATCAAGAACTTTTGGGGTTTTGAAAAAAAATGAATTGTACATATATCAAATGAACTTAAGAAACAAACAAAAGAAAAAAACAAACCCAACTGTTTGCAATTGCTTGAAGCAGTTGTCCTGAATGATACTTTTTCATTCACATTCAAGTATTAATTTTTTGAAGATTTAAGTTACATAATGGAATTAGGCATGTGCAACACAAACAGGAAAGAACTATGACTGAAATTTTAAAAACCTATAAATATGCACAAGGGACACACTAATGGAATGTCAGATAATTTTCACCAATTTTTATTTGGACCTGTTTTCTTGTGTAGACCATATTTACATATTTGAATAAGTACACAAAGCACCAATGCTGTTAAGGCCTTAGAAAGGGGCTCATGCTGAAATCTGCCAGTCAATGAAGTTTTACAGCTTGGCAGGTACAACATTATCACATAAGTGCTGTCAGTATAACAGTTGTGGGATAAAGGAAACTGGATATTTTTAGCACGATGTGCATGATAATTTATATGCTTGGTGGCTGTGCTGCTGATTAAGCCGTAATTAAAATTCTTCTCATCCCATTGGAGTTTTTAATAGAAGCTTTCTCCATCAATTGGCACAACCTAAAGAAGTTTTTTAAAGGGGCAAAAGTAATTACAGTAAAATATTTCCTGGTAGCTTAAGAAAGAGAAGGAATTGCAACAGATCTGAAAGGTATTTATGGCATTCTAAGGTATACAGTGGTGGACCCTCGTTGATACAAATCCCAGACAAAAAATGTGTATTATTAATGTTCTTTTTCCTTTCCACCTAAATAATTTCTAACTTTAAAATAAGTTTAATGGAATCTCCTTTGATGAAAGATTTATAATTTGCTGTGATCTAGTTACAATATATTTAGTTCAAATTGGTAAGGTAAAGTGTGTCCAAAAATTTAATTGCAATGATATTTTGCCATATAAAAATGCCCCAGTATTACTGCTCTGATTACACATTTCAGTTTATTGTTTGAACTCATCTTGCATGGTACAAAGTTTACTTATAATACTTTAATATAACTTTTTAATTCCCTTTTGCTATACATTAGCTTTGCCATTCCAATGAATTCTCTAGTCCAGATGGCAACAGTGTAGAAAAAGAGGGTTTGTAAGAACAGGGAGAAAGCCAACAACTAGAAATTTTAAAAATCTCAATACTACGTATGTTTGTGTGATTTGAAGTGAATGTTCTAAAATCACAAGAAATTTTTCATTCCCCTGTTGCTTTCCAGTAATTCTATACCACAGTCCTTTCAAAATGTTTGTATATGTAATCAGATGTACATTTATATAAAAGAAATAATTGAGATGGACTTAAGAGCACATCCCTGATAAATACTTTCTCTCTTACCTGTACTATATTTCTATTAGACTAAAGTTATGTGATTTTTTTTTACATTTTTTCAAATTACTAGCAATTTTGATAGTTTGTAAGATAATGCGAAGAACTTTCTCTGACAAACTAACTGCAGTAACAGAAACATTTCTTTTCAGTTACTCTTTTTCAAGAATGAAAGCTTATTACACACAAAAATTGTATACTACTTGATGGAAAATTACTTTGTATTTCTTGGCCATATTACTGGTCACTGAGTGAAATAAAGATAATCTGGATAACGAATATTATTCCAATGCTAAGAGACCTGATCTTTGCTCATTAAAGAGCTAAAATGTTTATTGCTGTTTTGTCATTTTTTAATGAAGTAATGGTAACTGTCTCAAATAAAGAGTAATATCTTAAGACCAGTCTGGTTTTTGAAGACATGAATATGCCTTCTACAGCTAATACAACTGCATATTTATGGGCCAGCCACACCTACAACCGTTTCTTACAGTAATATTGACATTGTGACTACATGGTGTCATAATACCACATGTAAATCTCCCCTAGATTGCAGGAATGAGTAAAAATGCAACATAAACACACACACACACAAAAAGGGTCAAGGAACAGGCCTAATTGAAATAAATCTGGGAAAAAACCTATCACCTGGGTTTTATTTGGGTGATTGAACTTTCATAAAAGAATGCTGAGAAGTTCAAAGTGTGTTCGGTAACATTAAGCACAGACATTAAAAGTGAAGCTGAAACAAAAATAAAGTACTGCAATTTAAGTCATTTTATTTAGCTATTAAAAAAAAGAAATCCATGTACTTAATTAGTGCTTGTTAGAGTCCCCAGTTTTAAATTAAGGTTTTTTTGTAGAAGCATAAAAAATAGTCTTCAAAATCCAGGGCGGTCTGTGTGCAATTTCTGCCTGATGTGGTTGTGCTTTTAGACTGTGACCTGCCGATGTAAACCAATAAAAAGAATTGTCTGCCATCTGATAATTATTGTTTAATAGGAAGATTGTATTTTGCTATGTTGATGAAACAAAACAAAAAAATACAAAAATATTGATGGCCATAAAACAAGATATTCATGAAATATGATTTTATGTGCTTTTCTTAACTTTATCAAAACCAAAATAACTTTCTACGATAGTTTATTTGTGGCCATATATCTATATATCTCTATATATACAGTATCTGGTAATTGTTTACTTTTATTAGTTACAAAATAAATGATTTAGGTAAACCAAGCATGACACTACACTTTATTTCTGTCAGCCAACAGTATTTAAAATGTGAAAGATGAAGGCAACAACACAAATTTTGTCACTACTGTTTGAAAAAAAAAAAAAGTCCATTCCTGTGGTGCAGATACTGTGAATGATATTTCAGTGGCTACTTTATAATGACATTACAGCAGCTGGCTTTCCAAAAGTAGGATGGTGTCCCACATTTTACCACAACATAAAGAAAGATCGAGAGATGTTTTAAAGCTGAAACAAGAATATAGGAAACGGTTTTGGAATATCTTCATTATGCTTCATGGAATATAAGTTTGTTCTTTTCAAAGTGTTTATCTGTTTGATTTGTTTTCCACGGTAGCCTACAAGAAAGCAAAACCGAGTGTGATATTTAATTTCTTGTATCATCCTTGGACTAGATTTTCAATAAAATTAGGATCTCAGTCAGTCTTTGGAAGTTCAGTAAAAATATAAAAAGCCTGCGTTTATTGCTTTCACTCTTTTGTAAATATGTTTGCAGACCTTTTTAAGAAAATGTATTCTACCATTTTGAGGAAAAAATAACCATGGAATCATTGTCTCGTTTATCTATTAAAATTACAGGCAATATAATGTGCTGTGCTGACATTTCTAGGAGAAATAAAACTGATAAAAACGCATTTCGCTCAATGGTATCTCAGTTGGTTCTACCTGGTATTCTCCACCCACGGAAGACTTGCAAGGCATGGACAACCTTCCTGAATATAATCTTCCATAGGAAAATGTAGTAGTTGTTTTTGTTGTCTGGACTAAATGTGGATTCCTATGTCAGAAATCTTTAATTATTGGATATTTTTGTTATTTACACCTCCTGAAAACCGGATGAATAGAGGTCTTACAAATAACCATGTTACAGCTCTAAAGACACTCCTGCACAGAAGATGCTACAATTTCTGTTGCCAGCTTCACTAAGAGATGAAACAGCTGACTTCATAGGAAGCTGTCAAACATCATGGCATTCCTTTGATGTTTGTAAGTTGTTGTTTTTTTCCTGTGATGTTGGTTTAAAATGTTGGCCTTTCCCCCACCCTGTTTTTTCTAGTAAAAAACAGTTACAGATGGTCGCTTTTTAATGTAAGCGAACATTAGATAATTTAATTATTATTGTGAAAATGTGCTCCCAAATAAATTAGATTAATGGGAAATTCCCTGCAGAGGTTTTGCTATTTTTCATTCAAAGCCCTTGTCAAAATATCTGTTGCAGCAGTTCTGCTTGCTTCCCCCCCCCCCCCCCCCCAGTGACTTTCTCCAAATAACATAAAAATCTCTTTTTCTATTTGAAATAATAACACTATAAGATTAGGATGTCCTCCTGAGGCCTCCAAATAAATATGAACAATTTGAAACATGGAGAATGGGATTTTACTCTAAACATTCTAATTTGATTTCATTCTGGCACATCAATACATTTGTATGCAGGCTAGAAATCAGCAGCTTTTGATAAGGTGTTCAAGAGAACTGCACAGCAGAATCGAGGAGTTCACCACCAGCCATGAGCAAAGTCCCTTTTCTCTTAGGTTCTCTTAATGCTATTGTATAATTAATTTCTTGTTTACAGGTTCAGTTAAAACTTAACTTTGTGAAATGGGAAATGGTTATAACAAGGTAATGAACTTTATCTGGTGGAAAATGTTTAGAAAAAACCTGTTGAGAGTCACCTTGGAGGTAGATTTTTATATGCAACCTGTCTTTGTTCCTTTTTGTTGATATTATAATTCTCAGTAATTCATACACATGGGAAACTATCGTTTCTGTAATAAGCTTTAGTTTCTAAAGGAATTTAAGCATTGTATGTAAACTGTGGATTAAAGCCTATTCTGAGTTTTGTGTCCCTTGCTACTGGGATGAATGGAAAACCTCATAGAAATGCAACCAATTTGTACAAGTAATTTTCATGCAGTATCTTGAAATTTCTTTTGTTTTCATTTGAAGATAAAAGTACCATCACAACAGTAGAAGCCATGTAAGTATTTGCTTGTCACAGAAAGTGCCTTCTTGTATACATACATACATATATATATATATATGCATCTTTGTGTCCACATGCATATCCACATGCCAGTAGAGGGGATTTCAGAAAAGGTGACTAACCAGGGCATTTCTGCACCATTCAAAGGAGTGGAGGTAACACCAGTACCTCATTCTGCATTCTCCACTGTTCCTGACCAGATGCTCAGCTGATGACATTTTTTTTAGCACCAACTGAATTAGCATTTATTGTAGAACCATTGAAATCAATGAAGCCCTGACAATATACGCCAGCTATCGATCTACTTCTGGACCTTTAATGTTCATCATGGCTCATCTCACTGTCCAATTTTGCATATATTCTCACGCACATGAATACCCACTTATTAGAAGTATAAGTACCTGATTTATGAGTGCCATCAGGCATTTTAACAAGCTTTAAAATATTCCTATAGTTATTTGTATGCAAGGTCAAAATTCAGAAAGAAAAGTCTTCTATATAAAAAAACCCCTTGAAATTACACTGATGTACACAGAAGGTTTGTGCCATAGTTTGTAGTGTTAATATGCTGTAGCAAGTTTTATGTTAAAATCTTTTTCAAAAAGGAACATTCAGTTCTGTCTGATCCTCAAATCTATATGTTGACCTATATGTCAAAGACACAACGACACTTTACAGTGGTTGGAAACCTGCTCTTTTCTGCTTCATTCTGGAAGGGAAGAGACATACACCTTGGCCACACATTGCTATAAATTCAGGACAGAAATAGCTGGATTTTCTCTGTCATCTGAATTTTCCCCCCTAAATGTCAGCAATGCCAGGCACTCAGCATCCATGAGCTTAGCTCTATAAGGGTGTAATTTCCAGAAAGTAATAAATGTGGAGTTCTTACATCTATAGGGCAGGGCAGTGTATATCCAGGGATTTTTGCTTTACAGATGTACAAGCCATAACTTGTTTCCAAAGGGAAGTTGGTAACACTGGCAACCAGAGGGGATAATACCAGAGCTCAATTAACAAGAGGTTTGTGAAAGACTGTATGAGCTGATAACTCTTTACCTGCATTATTAAAAAATAAATTTTTTTTAAAAAGACAAATTTTTCATCTAGTGATTTTGTTCAGTTACTGAGGAAGTTTATGAGAGTTTTGGTGTTGAGATCATACGGTTCAGAAATCTGTATGAACTCCTGTGAGGTCCTTATAAAAGCAAACCAGCTATAGCCATGGCTTCTAAGAGCTGTTGGATGTTTCCAGACCTCTGTGAGATACTTATCCATCTGTATTTCTGCAGAGTGTGTGTTCAGTTATCCATGCTTGGTGGCCAAATACAGATATGTTCTTCTCAAAATGACACATTCCCATAACACTGCAAAAACAGCTAATATAACTTACTTTTCAGCAGGTCTTGCAATCTTGATCTCAGCACTGGGTCAGCAGAGCCACATGGCTTTGGGCTGGAGCCTGACTGTATCTCATGGGAGTGAAGGACAGAAAAGGAAATCTTGTGACTGCAAAGCTCTCATGGGCCAGAGTCGGTGGAATACACTTGATTTAAATTTTACCTGGAATAAAATGAGTGGGACAGAACCTTGTGGCAGGGGGCAGTTTGGGAGAATGAGATATACAATGTACCTATTTCATCCACTAATTTGTAGAAACAACTTCAGCAGTAATTTTAAGCACTTAAGACTTTATGAAAGGTTCTAAAAATAATATATGGTTTGTCTGACACCAAATGCATTTTCAGAAAAAAGTCATGCAATATTTTACAGATTGTTGACAAATATATGGTTGTAGAGTGTTGTTTTTCTCCTTTTCACAACGTTACTCCTATGTAGTGGTGATATTTGGCTGAACAGATGAATAAAGTTTGCTCTGATTTGCATACAGGTAAGCCTAGAGCAATTTCATGAAAGTGGAAACATGGACCTTCACTACGGTAAATAACATCCAAAGTCAATTATTCTTGGTCAGCTAGTAGATATTCCCATGTTGAACCATGTGCTGATATTTTCTTTAATATTCATCAATTTGCCATAA